TGCCCACGAGGTGGCCAGGTATCGCGCCTTGGGCTCCATCCGTAGCCTGCGCACTGTGACCCTTGACATTCATCTTCGCCAGGACTTTGCGCACAGCTACGAAGGATTGTGCAGGGCAGAGGAAGCAGCATGTTCGCGAAGTAGTGAGGAAGCTAACCTTGGGGAGGAAGTTCTGCAAGCTCTCCGAGACGTAGCAGTGGACAAGACACTGGCAAACTCCATCTTTCGCACAATCTCCGAGGGCAAAGCGCGGTATGCACCACGCCTGGAACGACTAACGTTGAATCTCGCAGCTGTCAAAGGATATGGCGACACGGAGCTCGAGATTGTGATGCACCACATCGGGCGTTCGTGGACTTGTACAGGAAGCTTGCGCGATGATGCACCACACCAGTGTATCGTAGAGGAGTGTGATGATAAGGAGACGGAAGAGCGTAGACTAGATGAGGAGGATGGCCTACTGACGAAAGCGACCGAGGGATCTCTGAGACCTGTCCTGCTCGAGGTCTGGCGGAGTACGAGGGACAGGACTTCAGAGATGTCTGGCATAGTTTCCCGCTGGCCGAAGTCTCAAGTCTTCAAGCCTGCAATGAAGAGAGCGGTCGACAGGACCCAGAATGAAGGCGCAGTGGCGTGATAGTCGGTCTTCCTGTCGGTATGTGCTGCTAAGGCACGCCGTCTGAACCACTAACATCTGGATAGCATTCGGGTGCATCGCATGTTCACCACTTGCATACGAGATTCAGCGTCTGCATAGGTCCCCACTCTGCTCGGGCTCACATTTATTGTCCCTTCGTAGAACGACGATGCATTGTGTCTTCGTCGCGTCTTACCAGGCTGTTACAACCTCCTCAGCCGCTATCAGTGTATTTGCAAGTCCTCTTTCTCCCTCACTCGTAGACTGCTTTGCGAGACATACGCCTCCTGTTTCCCGTTGGAACATTTGCTTCTGCAATGTCCTGCCGTTGCAGCACTAGATAGCGAGTTCTGATAGCACGGAATTATTCCCTTGTACCCTAGATTATCCTTTCGTATTAAAAATATGTACAGTAACGCGAGAATGTCACTCATGCTAGACTCAGGGTCACAATTCTGCGGAAAATAGCACCGGTGCCCCTCTACTATGAGCATGTTGCCAGGAGAGGTGAGATAGGGTAAAGGTGTGGCAGAAAACCAGAAAACGAAGTGAGAAAAATGAATCGGCCGGGAATCGAACCCGGAGCACGCGCAGAATTGCTTGTCTAATGGCAAGCGCGTATGATACCATTTCACCACCGAATCGCCGTTTCACTACTGGTTTCGGATTGGGAATCACGAAAGTGAATCGTTTATCAACTCGAACTAGATTGGTGTGGCTCCGGCTCGGCAGAGGGCTTCGTGAAACGATCCAAATTTTGCGCCACCACGGAAAAGATGCTAGGAACCGTATATTCATGATCTATAATCAGGACTGTAGCCTGCTTGTAGTCGCAGCATCGAGTGTAAAGCGTCAAGTCTAAGGACTCCGTTCGAGGAGCCACGAAGCCTGGCCTCTCAGCGATGTTACATCTCACATCCTCACGGTTGCGAGTACATAATCAGGAGCATAGGAGACATGAGCTAGAGACTGAGAAGTAGAGACTGATGTGTAGTACTCGACATTATACACACTACTGGCAAACCCCATAGCAGCTCCTCCGTCCCAAATGCTACCCAAAGCCCCAACCAACAGCGCCCTTCAACCCCCATTTTACCTACCATTGCCCAGGTTTATCCTCTACATATTACTCAACTCCCAATCAATCCTCTCGTCCAACCATGCTCTCTTCTCCCCACTCAATTGACACTGCAGCTTCTGCTCCACAAGCGCCTTAACCTGCTTCTTAGTCACGCTATCCATATCAACCTCTCCAAGACACTCCCTCACGCAAGCTGCGATAGCCTCATTAGTAGGCCCTGGGTCGACAGTGAAAGCCGCCAAATTTGCCGTACTCTGCGGGCGAGACTGTGACGCGTAGCCGTAAGGCGAAGCACTCGGGTTTGGCGTTCCCAGAGGGGAGGGCTGGCGCATTTGGTTGAGAGCGTCGGTGGAGTGGTGTCGGGACACGGGTTGCGGGTGCGGGTAATCTGACATCCCACCCATGGACATCAGACGTTGTTGCTCTGCGGTGCCTGGATTGGCAAGGTCGGTGTACCGACTATACGTGCTCTGCCTGTTCAGCGCCGCGTACGGGCTCGGAGACTGCGGCGGGCGGTACATTTGCTGTTGCGGAAAGTGGCCCAGGATCGTGGACGCAGGCTTGATGCTTGAGTACGTCGAGCGAATATCGTCCATCTCATAGCCGCCGTCTTGGTACATTGCGCTGCCGCCTTCCTTTTCGCTTGGAATGCCGCGGCGGCCGGGGAGATTGTTGGCTGTGGCGTAGTCGTCCCAGCGTTGAAGAGGGATGGACTTCGGGTTGAAGCCTTCGTCGTCCACGGCGACAACTTGCTTGTTGCCCTTCTCTCCTAGCACAACACGGGTATTACCCCAAGAAAAGTCATCTTGTTTCCAGAAAGAGTAGATGGGCAAGACGAAGGAGTAGATCGGGTAGGCCAGGATGTAGATTAGCATCCAGCCGATGTGCTGCCATTGCCGTTTTATGATGAAGATCAGTGCTTGCAGACCATAGACAGCCGCGATCATGACAATCGAGATGAGAGGGAATTGCCCGGTCCCAGACGCCACGCGGTAGATCAAGTAAGCCAGGTACGCGCAAGTCGCAGGCAGGATTATCGTTCCCATCAAGTCGATGAACACCACAAATCGCATGCTAAAGCAACAGAAGCCGCACAGATCCTTGATGAAGACCAGTTCTGCCAGGTTGTGAATAGTCGAGTTGATCCAGCGTCGTCTCTGCGAGAGCAGCACACTCCACTCCGAAGGTGCTTCAGTCAGTGCATAGGCCTCTGGAACGAATTTGAAGGAATTGTTGGGGAAATGTTTTGTCATCAGCGTAGTCAGATATCGATCTTCTCCGAGCGAAAGGAGGTTCTTTTTGTGCAGCGTGTCGAGGTTGTTAACCGCGTACTCATCGATGATCTTGTTCGAGATGATCACAGGTCGGCCCTTGTCGGCGGTGCGTATCCGGTACATGCAGAAACTGGAGGAATGTCAGTGATATGCTCGGTCTTGCAGAGTTGGGTCATCAACTTACCATCCAGGTAGACACGTCACACTCCCGAACAAGCTCTCGAAAGCCTTCGACAAGTTGTGCGAGATGTAGTACTCATACACTTGAATCATAGTCCACCAACTCCTCTCCTCATTCTCAAGCGAAGTCTCACCACAGATACCGACAATTTTCGAATCGTTTGCGCAGGCAGCCACAAGCCTATTCAGCGAGTCTTCCTTGACCTTCGTATCAGCATCGACCATGAAGAGGTACTCATACAGCTCCGGATCAACACCGATGATGTTGTTGATCTGGTGGAACATCTCCAGTTCCAACGGACTCATGGCCGAGCGGTGGTGGACGCGGTTCAGGAAAGACATCAGCAGGATCTGACTGTCACGTTTGCCACGGTTGCCGGGCTTGGACTTGGTTTGCTCAGATTCCTTGCCGACCTTGACGACAACAATGTAGGGTACGACGTTGCCTTCGAATTCGTAGAGACCAGAGTAGACTTTGCCGTAGTTGAGCTGCTCGTTGCCGACACCCACGGACCTGAAGGGTAGGGCAGGAGGGTCGACCTTGGGATCCACGCCAAGCACATCAAGGACAATCTTGGGAGTTGGCCGGTCATTGCCACCTCCGACGATCATACCATCGCAGATGACACAGATGAGCTTCCGCTTATTGTCGTAAGCAAGTGCAGTCAGCGAGTCCAGACCCTTCCTCAGCGAATCTTCACCCTCAGTGTAAGCGGGCACCTGGCAGATGACAAACTTGTCCTGCTGGCCAGGCTTACGACGAGACCCAAACTGCAGAGCGGCCAAGAACTTGACGAGGATGACACTGCACAAGATACCAGCAAAGACGATCAGGAGATAGTTATTCACCTGACACTTCGCGGTATCACGGAAGTCAGTCTGTCCGACGTAGAAGACATTGTTCAAGCAGTTCATGCTGTTGGTGCGGTTGGCGTATGGAATCTGAGTGTTCCAGTCTTCAGTGATATCCTGTCCAGGATTCTCCTGGATTAGCTGATTGACGTCGTCTGGGAAGAACGAATACTGCGGCAGATTGTTCTGCAGCTTCAGCGTGTAGAAGTAATTAGTCAGATCGTAGACTTTGTTCTCGATGATAACCCACTGGTGGTTGTTGTTCTCGCCATCCGACTTGACGACCGATTTCTTGATCACTCGGGCACCTTTATAGTACTCCTTCATCCGTGGCAAGAAGTACTCCGTATACCAGTTGATGCTATTGAGCTTCGTAGTGGAATCCGACTGGAACGTAGGCCCCGACACGTGAGCACCGAGTGGGTTGAGGAGCGTTTCGTTCGGTGTCATGATGACATTGATATCAGTGACAAGTCCGGGACAGGCGATGGTGAGTGGCGGCACAATGTAATCGTCCATGTTCAGTCCAGCGAAGGGCTCCATGTTGTCCGACGTGGTCTCGATGTTGTTGTCCGAATGCTGCAGCTTCCAAAACTTGGTCAAGTCGTAAACATCTCCATGGTATGACACCCACCAGTCAGTGTCACCAGTATGATAGGCAACCTCCTGCGGACTCCATGCCTTGTCCCAGTTCGGACAGAGCAAGTTGCCAAGTCCAACGATCCAGAAGATGATGGTCCCGTTCATGAGTGCGATCAGAAACATCAAGCACAACTTCTCTCGCCATGCGAATCGCACATCGGGTCGCTTCATCCGTCCCACATGGGCCAGCACAAACGAAGGAATCCAGAAGGTCA